TTCTGAAGGTGGAACAGTTATCGCTATTAATATTTATGTATAATGGTAGATATACCTATTAGTGTATATGTAAGATAAGCGTATGTATAATTTTAGATAATTATATATACAGTACAATCATTCTGGATTCTATAGAATATTCATGAATTTTCCTTTTTACGATGAACTCACTAAAGTATCTTCTCCGCCTAGGCCCCTTAATAAAATTTCAGATAAGACCTTTGCAGCGTGTGAACTGTTTTTTGCATTTTGTATATAGAGTACCAGGCACAGGCAGCACGTTTTGTATTATGCAGTTGTCCACAGGTAACCTGCGGGTAATGGACATGGGAAAAATCAGCGCATTCTTTTTATGCATGCTGATAAAGTTATTGCAAGATCTTTATGATTTTCTCTACTGTATAAGTGAAATAGCATTATTATTATGGTTATTATAAAATGGCTTTTCAAAAATAGAATACATACGCAGAAACAGATTCAAAGACATTTTTTGTTGTTGGACTTTTCAAAACTGTAATAATTCATTTATTTTTCATCTATCAAACAATAAATACAATAAATTAAACAATGAGCAGAAGATAAATAGCATTATTGAATATAACTGAGTTGCAGGAACGATTACCATTCTACAACGTACTTTGTCATTGCTACTCATGCCCCAACAACAACACAAATGCAATTGTGCACAAGATTATGTAAGCCGGAAGGACTAGAATTGGGATAAAAGGTAACAGGAATTTTGGGATGAAGAGAAAGTTGTGAAAAACATCTTAATACATTTATATAATTAGTATTTTTTTTTTCTTATTTTTGTTTTATTCTATTGCACTATTGTTATTGATGTCTACATTGTTAGCGAAACTAGTACAATAATAAATGAAATATGTACTTGTTAGGAAAGCAAAAAAAAAATACCTCTTGGAGGTCATAGGTCAGATAATAATATAGTCCACTACTTCAGCAATTTAACACATCCCATGGCTAAAGTGATTATGTAGATACAAGTCTATAATAGTAAATACATATAATATATGAAAAGTCTTGTATTCTATGCTATTGAGAAATTCATAGGATTTTACTACCGGTATTCATTTGGATTATTTAGTGAAACTTTTCTTGTCTAACATGCAAACCCTGTTTTCAAGTGGCACTATCACAGCCTGTCCTATTTTTTAATTGGCTGGTATTAAAAAAAACCCCAAAACATGAGCTTGTGATTGGCTGCTGTGGCTGGCCACAATATAGATACATTCACAGGAGTAATATTCTGTACACAGGTCATAGGAGATCTACTTTAAATATGATATAAAATATTTGAAGAGACTGTTCAATTAAATATACACCCCCTATAATTAAAAACAATTATCAAACAGAATATTAATTTGTTACACTAAAGAGGCCATGGAGAATATTTCATTCTGTGTATCTCATAAAATCTAAAGTAAACTTCATAGTTTGGAAAACAAATATTTGTGTCAACAGTTAAATTCTTTCTATTTAGAATATTATACAAATAAAATTATTTGATCAGTTATAGAGTGTAATGCATCTGCAATTATATAACAATGGATGCTTTTGTTAAGATCTTATTTTTATAGCTTGTTATGAATAATTATATTAATGGACAAACAAGAAGGCATACCAGCCGGGTTTCTTTTAATAATAAATCATGATTATGACATATTCTGTTACCTTTTTTGAAGCATGGTACACATAGGTAGGAAACAGCTAAATGGTAGTTCAAGCAAAAAAAAAAAAAAATGGTGTAAAATGCATAAAGAATTGTAGTGTAAAGCTCTACCACTGCATGTTAAGCTATGACGATTATTTAGAAATTATTCCTCCATTTATCTTTAATATACAGTATTTGGAATGCGTAGAAAACAGGCTTCACATGTTCCATAAATAAAAAAATATGCATGATTTCTGGATTTTGCAGGTATACAAGCTGTGAAGAGGCTAATTTATAGGGACAGGTACAAATAGTGACTGGCCAATAGAGACTAGAAAGACAATTTGAACATTGTGAATAGCTACATCATATCAATGGCCATTATAGTCTATCAAAATGTTACACCTCATTTGTGTATAATCTCTATTGTATCAACATGACATCATAATCAGAAATGACTTTGTGATCAACATTTTTGTATCAAAAATCAGTTGCTAGGGAGGTATCCAAGTAAACAACTGACTAAAAATAAACACCTTAAAAAACGGATTATTATATACAGTATATTTAAACTGTCAAGAATTTTAAAATCACTATGATCACAATCATAAAAACTGATCGAATAAGATGGGAAAAGTTTACACCTGAAAGTAATACAATTTTATTTTTTTCTTTCTGCAAGACTAAAACAGAAATGCAGTCATTATACAGTACCTTTTACACGCACACCTTAATAAACACATTTATCTCTTCTTCTAACATTACTAAATATAATTTTAATTATTGTTTTTTTCTAATAATATGAGGAACAAATAAGTCCTAATTTTGTACTGTAACATTATCTTGGTAGTATGTTTGTTTTTTTTATATAATGAGCTGTTAGTCTTCTGAAACATCATAGTAGACAGTATAATATAGAAAGAGAATAAAATACTTTAACTGCATAAAATAAACAATTGGATAGATAAGAATAGTTGAATTAGGGAAGGGAGAGATTAGGTACAGGTACAATAGAAACATTCTTACAAAAGCAGGTATTAAAGAATATCAATTAAAATACAGATTACATAAATAACTGCCTTCTACAATATTAAATAACGATTTCAGGGGGTGGAGCAAAGAAAGGATATTGGGGTATGCGTGGTGGGTGGGAAATTTGGCCTTTTTGAGGTACAGTAGGGAGGGGAGAAGGGGTCAAATAAAAAAACCAAATTGCAAATGGAATTACTTGTTCCCAGTTTCAGAAGCTGAAACCTAAATATGTTAAATATGTACAGTTCATAAATCTTACAATGTTTTTACACAATTTAGAAGTGGTTGAGTAATTAGATGTTTTGCTAAGATATTAAAAATAAAACATTTACAACAAAATATTGTTAACATTTTGAATTGTATGCGACAAAACAAATAAAAAAAAAAAACGTAATGGCTAAAAGTAAATTGTTGGCATCATAATGTTTACAAAATTATAATATCACATATATAATAAACATGATATATTATATGTATATATATTATATAAAAAGAAAAACTAAAATTAGAATTATAAATACGTTTGAATGTTTCACAACATGAGTACATGCACACTTATAAGTACTTGAATTATGTACTAATATCATTAATGGCACTTAACTCAATTCATCAAATTGACCTATATGTCATACTTAATTAAAACTAATTAATTCAAAATGATTAGCCACCAAAGAAATAAAAGGCATCCGATTATTATCCACCAATAAAATATAGAATGTCCGAACTTATTCACCAATCAGAGAATGGCAAAAAATATGTCTACCAGTGAAGAAAGGGAGAACTGAAGGAAAGCAATGATTGAAGGTATTTTCTTTTAAACTGATAGACTTTGACACAAGTATTATGAGTACGAGAAATGAGACATTGTAAATACATGAATACATATCTGGTTATAAAAAGCTAGGGAATCCAGGTAATTGATAAGATTTATGTTGTACAGATTGTTTTAAATTTAATAACATATTTATTCAGCTTTTCCACATATGTAATCAGAGAACTAAGGAATTTGAGAATATATTATAAGAGGACAGTAAAACAGCACTTATAATAATAAAAATTATAATGTAAATATTATATATATATTTATTTTTGTATTTAATATATTTGTTGTATAATAGAGGAGGGAAATTACCAGCATAATTAATAAGAGATGAAGTGAGGACTTACAGAAGATATGTCAACTTCACATACTAATAATTGATAATCAAAACATTGCCATACTGACAATGCATTCAATATTTTTGCTATTTTTCTAGGTTACTGTATATCAATAATTAGCAATTTTTTACACCTAGTAAAATATCAAAAATGACTAAAACCAAAGAAAACAAAGCACCAGTATTTGTTTCCATGGTAAAATTCAAAATCTAATATTTTCATTGCAAGATATAATAACACATTGCTAATATTAACAGTATAATTATTATCATTATCATTTTATTATCAATACATTTATTTTTTTTTTTTGGTATTACTACATGTACTACACAGAATTGCTAAGGGTGCCAAATAAGTTTTTCATTGTCAATTGAATGAATATCACTAGACTCCCATGAAGCCACTTGGGAGAAGCTAATTATCACAACAAAGTGTCTGAAAAGAGCCTAATATAATTCCAGTTTCTTGAAATTATTGATCATGAGTCATGTTACAATTTATTTAGTAAGAAAAAAAGAATAGGACTTCATATCTCCTTTTTAACAATCAACTTCCTATCCAACAATGGGGCACTGGTATATAAACAGGGGGCATGGAGGAGATAAATATACAACAAAATTCATACATTCTAGACTTATTAATAGATTTCCTACATTATTTCCGACTCCTATCAAATTAGACATTATCCTATGGTCTACGATAAGTGCATTTTAAAATTGATATCTACTACTTCTTTATACTCTGAATCGTGACGGTCAAAACCCAAGTCGAATTTGGTCGATATGCAGCACTGGGCCTTATTTCCATGGCGATCTCCGTCCGCAAGCGGTGTCAAGCATTCAGCCGTGAACAAAAGCCTCTCTTGCTAAATGCAGAACGCGTTCATATTTCCTTTTCAAATTCTTTTTAAGGCTTAATATCTGGAAGTCTTTATTGAGCGCAATATCACCTACAGGTTGTGGTGGTCGCAAAGCATGCAATATTACGCAGAGATTATGACTCGCAAGGGATGCAATATCACATGTTGATCGTGAATCTTACAATGATGCAACATCGCGATTCTCGAAACAATGCAACATTATGTATGGAGCAATAGTCTTGCAAACGATGTAATATAACATGCTGATAGTTTTGGCAAACAATGCAGTATTCCAAGGCTATGTTGAGTCTCGCAAACAACGCAATATCACATATTGATTGGGAGTCTCACAAACAATGCAATATCACTTGCTCATCGGGAGTCTCGCAAACAACGCGATATCACATGGCGGCTTAGAGTCTTGCAAACTACGCAATATAACATGGCAACTGTGAGTCTCGCAAAAAACGAAAAATCACATGGTGATCGGGAGTCTCACAAACAACATAATATAACATGTTGATTGCGAGTCTCACAAACAACGCAATGTCAAAGCTGACCAGGAGTCAAGTAAACAATGCAATATCACATACAGATCAGGGCCCAATTTGCAATAAATCCAAGGTCATAGTTCATGGTGTGCAAAGACCTCGCTCTTGAATGTTCTCATAATTCCTGAGGTGCGATTGCCGAGCAAAGCCTATTCTGTACCTTGAGTAACAGTCAATCTGGCCGTATGAAACATATCTACCTATGCCTACTGTTCCGTTAACTGTTTGCTTCCAAGTAATCCGTAGGAACAATTGTTATCTACATATATGCACGGTGGCTATTCCAGAATGATCTTGCTCCCCTCTGTTACCACTCAATAGTTGGATTAGATGACAACTCAAACAATTTTGGAAGCTGGTTAGTTTGTAGTGTTCGAGTATTCTGGAAAAAAAAGTCTCTATTAATGGCATGTGTTTGAAAACAGGATTACACTATCTAGTGTGAGTTAAAAAATAGTTCAATACACCAATTGTCATTGTGATCAGACTAAACTCTGCAACTCAAGCTTTACAAATTGGCCTATATCTTAAACATTACCTAAAACATAATTATATTAAATATATACTGTCTGTACTTAACAAATTTTTTTTAAAATGTAATTAAATAATTCCATCATACTTTCTATATATTTTATATTCTTCACATAGACCCTTATATTTACAGTTGCTACATTCAAGGTTTTTGGGTCTGAATTGTTTCATTCATTGTATCAACTAAGTTACAGTTTAGAGGTTAAAGGTTATACATTTAAAGGAATTCTATGTTTAACATAATTTTAAGAGTTTTCAATATTTGACAATTATAAAATATATGTATTTTCCCCCCTTGATTTGGTGTTTTAATGGTTTCTCGATGCTGTTTGTACTTAAAGCTCACCTCAATTGTTAGGCACTGCATTCTTTGTAGAGTGCCATATAAAATGCTTTAATAATAATAATAATAATAATAATAACAATAATAACAATAATAATAACAAAAATAATTATAATAATAATAATAATAATAATAATAATAATAATAGCATTGCAGTACCTGGTGCTCTACTGAGGATTGAATGAATTCATCACTAGCCATCAAGCACAAGCTCGGTGACTGAGTGGTTAAGGCACCAGGCTAGTTATCTGGAGGTCAAGGGTTCGATCTCCAACCGAATCACTTGCGAGATTTTTTTCACAAGCATTTTGGGAATGTACAATAACACATCAAGTACGGCTAAACATCATTAATAATAATAATAATGATAATAATAATAATAATAATAATAATACTTAAAGGAAGAAATTCATATTAAACATTTTTTTTGATAAATACCATGGTCATTTGTCCACATCACTTCGACTGGCTAGTGTAGATAGCTTAGGGATAAGAGATTTAGTCTGAAAATAACAATACAATTTTTATACATTAGAAAACTTGTGCTTAAACCAACAAATGCTTCTAAAGATTGAAATAAGAGGACAAGGCCAATATATCTAAATTAAATTTGATAGTAAAGACCGTCTCAATACTGCCTTGTTTAAATACGTTAGTTTAATAAATAAATATACATATGTTTTGGATTTCATAAGCGTTTTAAAATTAATTTTGTTTTTAAAAAGTAGTATAGTAAACTGTATACCGCAGTTAAAAATTATTTAGCTTTGACTGATAATACTTCTATTTGTATATTTTTCGTATACAATTCATATGTAAGTGGCGGATCAAAGAGAAAAAAAAACAATTCTACTCAAATTTTTAGTCTAAAAGTGCCATTTCTGGCCTCTGGAGGTGCCATAATCATAAATTTTCTTACCTCAGCCCCAACCATGGTGGGGCTGAGGTACATAGACCCTTCATCTGTGAAAGTCCCTTTCTGGACCCCCTCTATTTTAACTTCCTGGATCCACCACTGTTTAACTTTTATTAATGTCTTGTTAGCAATAAATCAGCAGATAAACTAGTATATTTTCCTTTCAGTAGCACTGCAGGAAAGATACCAAGATATAATGTATTGTATTTTGACATCTAAAATACAATACACTTATAATATAGTGCTGACTGCCATTATGTTTATTTAATGTATTTAGTAAATAATTTAAATATTTTGGTATATATAAAGTACTGTAGTAAATTTTGTTTTCATGCAAAGAGCAATGCATGAGAGCAACAGCATAACATTCCATCTAGAGGATGAGGTAATTAGGAGTCCAGAAGTAATTTTATCTGACATATATTTGTAAATTGCTTATAAATGGGTGTGATATTATATCATGGCCATTATATGAGCAAATGACATATATTTGTCACAGAAAATTTCAACAAGGGAGGGCAGATGCGGATTTAGGGCAGCCCCCCTCCCCCCCCACACTTTTGGAAAGTGAAAAAAAAGAAAGAAACAACAGATCCCCCAAAACGCCTCAGAGGTTATTTTTGGGTGTTTATAAAACAAAAACTTTGTGGGGGTGAGGGGGGGGGGCGCCTGTCCCCGAAACTCCTAGGGTGGTGTTATCTCGACTGTCCCCACTTTTGGCTCCCTTTCAGACGTCTTTGAATCTGCCCCTGGAGGGTACAAGTAAAGATTGTTGGGAAATTTTGAACCTGGAAACATGTGCTCCGAGGCTCCATCTTATCCTACCACAATTTGGTAGATTGAGATGATGTTAATAAATATTAATAACTACTCATGGGTTGGTTAATAATGAAAGTTACAATCATAAACCTCCTATAATTTTGTTTGGTGAAAAGCCCATGAAACCATGAAAAATTTTTTATCTTACAATAAGTTATATTTCATTTTTATCCCATGAAACCATGAAAGTTTTTACCTTACAGTAAGTTATATTTCATTTTTATCCCATGAAACCATGAAAAAGTTTTTACCTTACAGTAAGTTATATTTCATTTTTATCCCATGAAACCATGAAAAAGTTTTTACCTTACAGTAAGTTATATTTCATTTTTATATCTAATGGCATATACCTTGCAATATAGAAATGATGGACTATACATTAGGTCTCCTAAAACTATATCTACACAGTTTTAAGTTGCAAATAATCTGTGATTTGCCCATATATGGAGATCACACCAATATAGGGGTTCCAAAACTTCCATGAGTCATAGGAATCTCTCATAACTTGGCAAGACACACAATTGTCAAGCAAAGGCATTATGTTCCCATGTTTTTTTAAAATAATCTATTATTGTCTCCATTTAAACTGGTAATGAGTATCACCCTGCACACAAAAACACAATTAGGTGCCCCAAGAAAGCTCACTAAAGCAGTTCTCCAAGAATTGAATTCTACCATCTTGAGACCCTTCCCCAAATATAAATAGACATTTTACACAAGAGGACGAGGAGCAGTTGACAACGTCAAGTCAGGTTAACTGTGGTCTTCACGCTCTTATGAGTACAGAAACACCGTCCTCCCGTCCTTTTGTGTAAAGTGCCCATTAAATCACAGGTATTTGTTGCATAAAACTGTGGATAGAAGTTTATTGAAGGCTTAGGAAGTGGAGTTTTATGAGTTATATAAAAAAAAAAAATCAAAATGAAAAAAAATCCTGCCAGGAACTGAATGTGAAATCCTGGTACTAGAACACATCATTCACTGCAATGCTACAGTAAATAGCATACTCCTTAATGTACTGTATAACCATGGAGGTACTGTATATACCTCCATGGTTTAACTATAAATTCATGCAAGGCCAGTAACATCCAGTAGAACAATAGTTATTATACTGTACATAGAGGCCTGTCAATACCCCCCAACTTCTGGCCATACACATAGACACAAGGATGGATACAGATACATATATATATATATTATGCAGACACACACAAACCTGCTAAATACATTGATGTGTGCACGCATGTTGAAAGCATTGTAATTGTAGCAAAGTGCACATCACTCAATTGTTGGTAACTACCGATAATATTGTTTGTTTATTTCACCTAGGTTTACTATGCTGTATGTGCTAATATATAACAAATTATAATAACAATTAAAAAAAATAGACACAATAAGTCTACGACAGAATACTTGCTACGCCTCATTCCCAAATAAACACATAGATTGCTAATGATTTTTCTACCATGAAGTCAAAGTTAGATATAAGGTATAGTAGTATGAACTAATTCCAAAAAGTAATTTTAAAAGCCACTGCAACTCAATGTGCTATCATTATTTATTCATTTTCAGAAATTCAGGATTTCAGATGAACAAATAATTTCAAAGATGTTCAAAATATTGAATCACAATCACTGGCAGTTTGTATACTATGTCATTAGTTTAAAAATTCAGGAAAATCTAATGTCAAAACCAGAAGACCAGATGAAATTATTTCAATTACAGTATTAATCCAAAATATTACAGTTAGTAACATTATTTATAAGATGATACGAGATACATAACTCGTTATTTGTTAATTTTAGCCCTTGTATATGCTTATTCTCCCCAGCTGCAAAACCTACAGCATATTAGGAATAAATTAGATGAAAACCATGACCCACATTTTGTGTGAGAGATTATAATAATTGTGATGAGCCGAGGCCAAGAGCCCTTGATAAATAATCAGGTTTGGTTGAAAACTGCAAGAAGAAGAATGAAATGCTTCCACTATTAATAGATTCTTTTGTTATTTCCCACAATTATGAAATGAATTTGTGTTTATTTTTCTAATAAACTTTATATTCACTGAACAACAAGATGACATTTTGTTTTTATGACTTGGTCAGATAAATTTTCTACTGGTAGATTATGAGCCACAGCAGTACACTGACTTCATAAAATTATATTAGCCTTTAGCCGCACTCATCAAAACAACAACATCCACACTGACAAGTTTAAATTAAAATGAAGCTATATCAAAAAATTAATTAAAGGACAATTCTTCTACCACATGAAGGAAATGAAGAAATAGTGGAAAAGTGGTTTGAAGAATTCATCTACTATACTAAGAGGAAAATAGATCATGTGCCTAAGAAAAATAACTATTGCACTAGTGTAAAAAAATATATTATGTCTGATCTAACTACTGCAGTATAGAAGGTATAGAGAGGTCTGAATGATTTTCTATTAAAATCACTAAAATCTAGAGTACAAAAATATTACAACTCAATAATGTATTTACACAGACTAGAGTTATAGTGTTGCACTTTATCTTCTCTCGGAAATTACACATACATTAAAATTAGGTGAAATGAGAAAACCACAAATATATAAAGCTGAGTTTTGAAGTTACAGAATATTACAGTATATATTTAGATGTGTGCAACAAAATGCTATTTATCTAGTGTATATAATTTCATAAATGATGAACATTTTTAGAAAAAAAAAACTTATTGAATGTAACAAAATCATGAAAACAGCAAAAATAGCCTCATTGCAGTGGCGGATTACAAAATGAACGGAGAAGCTGATTGGTCAAAATAGCAACAACAAACAAACATACAGCTTATCATACACAATTTGCATAAACTGTGTGCTAAAATTTTCATGTTTTTTTAGTAATGTCTATCTTGATAAATGATACCAAATCTAGGGTCAGCAATAATTTTGTTTTAAAGAGCTGGAAAAACTTATATGATGTTTGAAAGGCCATTTTTCCAGCTTTACATAATTATTTTGATATACCTATATTTATTATGAATTTAGCCCAGTTGTCACCATCAAAATACATGGGTTAAGTGTTGGTTAGTCATAAAATCTAGAGAAAAATCCACCAAAATAATGTATTCCCAACTGACCCCATTTCCTAATGTGATTATACTTTATTACATTACACTTTATGGAATGAATGTTGATGATTTATCAATATGAAAATTATTAAAATAATGAGTAATTATAATCTATAATTTAAAAATATAGAAATTATTACTGATGGAAAAAATGTAAAATTTAAATTGTAAAAGCAATTATCAATTAGCAACATGCATTAAAGATATATTGTCTCATGAAAGTACAAAAAATATTATAAAAATAATTTTTGAAATTAACCTGCTCATAAAAATTATCAACTAGTGTATAAAATACGATTGAAAACACTTCCAGTCCCTGCAAATGTTTTTATTACGTTTATGAAAGAGTATATAACAGCAAGAGGTTTGTCTGACTCTCTGGGTTTCGTTGAAATGCAATTCCTATCCCAAAAAAAGTACTACGGTACCACAAGCTAGAGGGGAACGTAAAAGGCGTTCGTAAATAGGACGCCCCCTATCTTGTGTTAGTACTTTCATTTTCAGTTTCATTGCATGCATACAAAACAAGGGCAGTCAGACATCATGCAATTCTGTACTTCTTGGCTCTTATCATTACCCAGTATTACCTGGGTACACATTTTTTTTATTTAATTTTTATGCTTCAACTTGTATATTACTGCAAAATGAGCAAGTTAATCTCAAAATTATTTTTTATGATTTTTTTTGTCATTTTCAGGGAACAATGTCATTATTTATTAAGACATGCACATCTAAGATAAACTGCCATGAAAACCTAATAAACTTTAAAAATTTCAAATATAAAAATAAATTACTTCTAAACACTTTCAATTAGTTATTAGTTTTCAATTAAAAAAATTCCATACCTTTTACATTGGACGTTAATCATATCTTAACTTTTTGCATGTCAATAAAGCTTTGACTTTTTTTTAATCTTGAAAATTGATAACTTATGTAATTATTTTACATAAGCAAGTTTTATTTTAATTTTTAAAAGTTGTTTTAAAAAATTTTTTTTGGTAGCAGTATATCTTAAATACAGCAGATCAATAAATTAAAAGAAAACATAAAACATTAAATATAAAAACCTTCAATCAGAATTTTTAAATTATACACAACAATCTTAAAGAAAAGACCACCATTATTAAAATCATGATTGGATTTCAAAAATGTTGCGATCCAAAGAATTCATATGATTATAAGTTTGAGCCAGCATTAATTTTTCTAACAATGTTGAAAAAAATATAAAATTCATAAATTCATTTTTTTTGACGAAAGTGCATTAAATTATGGAGCTCACCGCACACACCAGAATATCCAACTGAGCTGCCATATCTGGGCTTCAAATTATAAATGCACAAGGAAAGAAAGGGCTATACAATTGATTTGATAGAGAGCCTCTTTAAGTCGGATTTTCTGTTAGAACTGCCCTCTAAAAAGATTGTTGAATATATAAATAAATATAATTTCTCACAAGAAATATATATATATATATCTAACATAAGGGTTCTCATCTGAGAATCTTTTGTGCTTTGCATCTAGCATTCTTGCGCATTACATGTTGATTTGGACTGTGCATTTTTGTTGATCAACAGCATTTTGGACTATCTATATTTTTCAAGTGTGACAGACATGCACATAGAGCAGAGTGTGTTGTGAAAGAAGAAGTACCAAACAGGACACATTTTTTTTCAATTCCTTGCCCGGCATAATTTTGGATTGAAAATTGCACACACATAAGCATTCAACTAAGCTATTGGTATGCTAGGCTCACAGTTCTGTGAAGGCCGGCACCCTAGACTACGTAGTCCGACGCAATTTTTACCACGTTAGGTGACGCGTCAGGGACAATCTTGTAGAATATTAAACAAGTTTAATATTTACACGACCATCTACAGACCGTCTCTAACATTAAATCGTGTCGGGCTGCGTTGTACCACATCCGAGTTGACCATTATTTGCTAACATATGCAGTGGGCTTCATTATACGCCGCCGCCGCCATCACATGAATAATCAGGACCGCAATATTTTTGCGATAACGTAATGATCATTAGTAAATTACACAACACTATGATGATGAAATAAGAAGAATCTATGGAGTGTCTGATGAAGAAGTACTGTGCAATGCTGATTGTGTCATCTCACCTTATCCCAGTGACTTGACCCCTGGACAAATCGAGGGAAAGAAAAGTAAAAGGAAAGTAGATACATGAAAACAAAAAAAGGACAACCAACGTCCACGCACAATAGGTACATGCACACAAGTCCATCATTCAATATTACTGAAAAATGTAAAAAATATGAATATTTCAATGTAAGTTTAAATGCAAACATATATATGTTGAGGGCGCTATTATCTCAGGATTCTCAAGATACATAGAATTTGAATATTCAAGCGAGTGAAGTGTAAGACTGACATTCCTGGTAATAAAATATCTCTTGGGGTGGTGAGGGTGTAGATTGGAGGGTTGGTATGGTTGCACATTGGTTGATTAGGGAGAGTGGAGATTACGATGAAATATAAGAATCATATTTGGTATACAACAGACATGATGGGTATGGAAATATTGCATGGAAATACCAATCAAACAATATAGTACTTTAGCTTATAATGTTTCTTGGTTTATGGTAATCTACGGTATGTATGGTCGGTCAATCGTAGCGTGTACACATTAATAAAGGGAGGGAAGAGTGCAATGAACATTTTTAACAATGTAAACATTTTACAAAAAATTTTTTTAGTAATACAAAACACACTGCAATACTTATAAAAAAGTACTTCGGCAAATAAACTTTTTTCTGCTTTGTGAGTAGGGCAGCAACCTGTATAATTTAAGGCACAACCATACACAGAAAACATGACATACAACCTAAGTCACCACATTAAAAGTTACTTAATGATCGATTTAAGGGGATATAAACAATAACAGAAATTCATAATTTCTATAACTGGAAACAAAAATCAAAATTATATAGTTACTGATTACAGTTTCTAATAGAAAGCATGTTTGGCAATGGAATATGGTCTACCTTTTTCTTTGGACTTAAAAGCTCCTTGTACTGTTCTGATTTAAGAAACCTTGGATAACTGTCTTTCTTCATTAATTCATGGATATGGTCCTCTGCTGCATCAAACGCGTATCGTCCGGCTGTCTCCATGTGTTTCCGTGTCTCATCCATTACACGTGAATCAATGTTGATCGGGCATGGTGCATCCGGAGATAAAAAATCCCTGAATTGGAAGTAATTGGGGGGTAAACACTATTAGATAGCATTTTTCATGATGGACTTATCATTAGTAGCAGCAGCAGTAGTAGTAGTAGTAGTAGTAGCAGAGCGACACCTGACCATGCTCACTTATGCTCTCGTTGGAGAAATTGCCCCTCTCCTCCATAAAAAACAACACCATTAAGAAGAACAAGGGCAATTACAGTATTCCTTACTTAAGTGATTCTCAAACTAGGGGGTCATGACCCAAAATTGGGTCCCCAAAAATATTTAAGAATTGTGAGTCTTTTAAAAGACTTCATTTTACCCAAAGTCGTCAGAGTGTAGCCATCAAATAACATTTCTAGAAATCAAATTTAGTGAAGTAATTGAATAACCACTTAATATTATAATTACATTTTTATTTCCTAAAAATGTCATGTGGACCCCGCCATACACCACAGATAATAGCGCATTACCACATCTGGGAAGTGGGGCTGCGATTAAGTACCTGTTTGAGTATTAGGTAGCTGTATGTAGGTTGTCAGTCTGCTTTACTTACTTCCAAATCTCTTGTGTTTTTTGTTTTAACATCTTCATCGGAGAGGCTTTCAGTTCTTGACTAGCAATCCAGAACCTGCAATAAAAATCACATCTAAAAATTAAAAAGTGGTCAATTGAAATTATTCTAAGTATCACACGTTCAAATGAAGAAAGTCATTTCTGTTTTTGATACCGGATACAATTCCTAAAAACAGATTATTTATTGTCAACAACAAATGTAATAATTTGTAAATATAGTAGTTCCTATGAAGCTATCTTAAAATACACATAAGAGTCGTTTGTTAACCTTTAAAGGTCAGATCTAGGTTTAGAACTAAGGATTAATTTCCACCTATAGCCAGTAATCTTGTTACGAGGCTCAGTGACAACACAGAGTCGATTCTGATGAAAGTGTGAATCATAAATACTCATGAAAATAGATCCCAGACACTTTCCTTCAGACTAACATCTCTCATTACTCCATTCATAAAATTCTAGGTTTGCGAAATCTAACGGCAATTTTAAGTCGGGGTGTTTAGATCATCCGCATGTGAATGGCTATTAAAAATACATCTATTTAAGTTTAATGGTGTGGCTATTTCAGTTGTGATTTTATGCAAACCGGAATCATGGAGGTAGTTTATTTTCATCGTATCTTAAGTTCATTGTCCAGTGTTTTCCAATAATTCCATATAACCCATATAAATGAGGTTTCACTTTCTAAAGGAAAAATTGCACAATATTTTGAGGAAATGGAAACCGAGGTCAAAGTATGCAATTGTTTTAGTTGACACAATTTGTCTACATAATAAGTTATATTCAGACATATCTGACCATACATAATAATAATAATAAATACTTTATTTCAAAACGGAAAACTTGATTCACTCAATGGTGTTTTTCATCACAGCCATAAAGTTGGTATAAAATGAAGAAAAATTAACACAAACAAAAATAAAAAGCAGAAGTTTAAGAAAAAACTTAAAATACTTAAAAATCATTATATTGAATAAGACAAAATATGTGTGATGCCAACTTAAAATTGTATAATCAAGATAAAAACTGTTTGAATTTGATAGACATGATGCATTTAACATTGTCATTAAGACTATTCCATAAAATAGCGTCATGGTACTGTAGGTTAAACTAACTTTTTTTGTATACAGTTATTGGTTTTTCTATATATAAAACAACTGTTTTCTAAAACAAAACAATTGAAAACCAGATCCAAAATTAATATGGAGGCATTTGACTATCACCTCCATATAATTGTTAAATATTTGAGGCTGGCCACCCCAGCGTCACTAAATATTAAACTTTATAAGTACAGTAATTAGCATACGAATGTGGCAGCAATATACTTTAGTAGAGAAGCATTAATACTTTTACTTTGGCAATTTAGTATTAACTCAATTCCAGTAAAAGACCTGTCATTTTAAGGCCTATTATGTGAATATTTAAAAAATATATGAATATATGAATATTAAAAAGCCAATTTTCTTGTTTTTGTCACTGATGCTAGTTTTGGCATGGCAATCCCTATTTGTTTTTTTGCAAACTTGAGATGTTTTATACCAAATGTATAAAGGAAAACAGTATAAATTAAATCAAAAAAGATTTCCAATTAAATCATATGTGTTTATTCTGAAACACTATTTTGCTGCGATCTAAATTAACACTAAGAACCATTTCACGTAAGGTAGGAAGTCCAAATATGTACAGATTTTCAATTAACAGATTGTTATACAATACATGTTATACAATGGCCAAACTTAAAAATGGATCTTGTTCTAATCTACAGCTTTCTTTTTTGTGTGTGTGGGGGAAGGGGGAAGGAGGAAAATCCTTTTTTGTCACAAGATAAAAGACCCAGAAAATTGTGTGCACAGACAGTATGTTTTGTCCATGTTTATACAAGAAAAGAAAAGAGGACATTTATTCTATTTTTGAAAACCCTGGATAATATTGTCTGCATTATTTTGCACAGATCAATGATTCCGATTCATTATGCAACTATTTTAAAGATCAAAGTTGAAATACTTAATAGAATGAAAACTAGAAGTCAAAGGAAGTGAATATAGTTACTTGTTGTCCTTGATACCTTTTATGTTCATAAACATTGTATACAATAGTGAAGTGGAATTATAAAAACTGTTGGAATTAAATTCCTGTTACTACAGTAACTGCCTATTTTCCAAATTTGGTCTTGGAAAAAGGTTTTAATGACCAGAAACATAAACATACATTTGCATTAAACCTCAGTAATGTTATGTGAAATAAACACTGCATGCTAAATTACTAATTAGCAATTACACTAAAAAAACAATTTGCAATAATTCTAAGACCACGATGGAACTCAATGAACTTCCTTAGAAACCGGATTTTTGGAGAAGAACCAACATTCTTACATCCTTTTTTCAGCTATTTGAAACCACAAGCAAGCAGTGGTTTACAAGATAATCACTCACATGCTCTAATAATGTTGGCAGCATACTGAAAAGTTAATAATTTATTCATAATATGTGTATCTATATGTTACATACATCTAAATATGGCATGTTTATAAAAAAAAAATAATTTAATTAATAATATATTAAAAACAAGGCTACATGTACGAAGCCTGCAAAAGCTACAAAATACAGAGCTATGGGTTGCTGTAGTGTTAAAAAAGATATCCTTTCCCTGGTTTTGTGGCTGTAAAAGTTTTCCCTTAATAGGGGTATCCTTTTAATAAGGGTGTCCTAAAAGAAGGGGTTTACTGTATTTCTTATTAATTGTTATATCAATGCCAGGCCCTGTATGATAATGGTACCTGCACATGATAGATCCATGTTTAAAGATTATTAAAACAAAAGATCAGGATCCATAAGCAGGAAGTGTGCCTATTATATCAATCCTACCACCTTGACCAAACCAACTGCCCAGCCCTAAAATACTTCTGCTAGTGATTAGATACAGCACCCACGCAGGATGCTTTTCCATAACATCAAGGGTTGTAACTTTTGTGAGATGATAATACTTGTGCAGTAATGGGTAAAGAATTTTGAACACTGTCGATTTATTTATATTTGCTGTTTAATGAGAAATGTAATTAAAAAAATGTTATATTAACATGGGGCTTGCCATCCCAAAACCAGCATCAGTTAACAAAAAATGAATTTCTTAATTTTTTTTATTATTATATTCTTATTCCCAAAATTACATGCTTTAAAATGATGGGTCATTTAATGGAATTGCCTTACTATTGCCAACATTATGAGTAAAAGTATTACAGCTTCTCTGTACTAAAAGTATACAATATGTACTGCCATCATCACCATCATTATCTCAAAGTTTCAATGTACATATCTTAGTACGGTATATCTATAATAATGTATCTACAGTGTATCTGAAAAAAACATCTAACCATGTTATCTTCAATATGCATATGACCAAATACATTATGTTTATATATACATTATATGTACTTCGTATATACTTCAAGTAGATGAAAGAGGAAGTAGAATGCTGTATTTGGGTTGTTGTGACCTGTTATCAAAAGCCATGACTTTTTTCCTTTAAAGGGCTTTTACTGCAAGAGTATGTAAGTAAGTGTACTATTACATGGCAATCCAGTTATTTTATTGGCACTCCAGGTCAACAATTTAACTGGTAGGAAAAAGATAAACAAAAAGAGGCTTAAATTCCTATGGGCTGCCGTAATTTCTTGAAATGCTACTTAGCCAAACAACTATACATTTCCAGGTACAGGTCTTGATTAAACACCATCTTTTGGGACCGGGTATTTACAGTCTGTAGCAGCTTTGGTATTTAATTAGAAAAAAAGTTGATTAGCACTATAAAATGTAAGATTACTCCCTCCCTACTGCAGCTGCGTTTGTTTACCTGAGATTTTCTCCACTGAATTCTGTTTCTAGGAATTTGGCAAACTGCTCTCTGCCTAGAGGATCTCGTAGAAGTTCATCGATACCAAACGTCCATTTCTTCACACGCCAAGCAGGCACATCCTTCAGGCTTCTATCGCAAATAACATACGCAATAAATATTAATTTTCAATCATTAATAAAAATATCAGTTTAAAAAAAATTAAAATTAAACAATACTTTTAAATGTTTTAGCTTCAAATCTATAATTATGAGTTACTGATCCTTTATCGGTGTGTCTTTCCCATGACTCAAGAGTACAAAAGTGGGTTATTGGTAGGATACAAGTATGTCGTAATAAAATTTCTAAAAACCAATTAAATATTTGAATAGTTATATTAAAAGAATAAAATATTAATAAAGTGTTATTCATTTCCAATTAAACAGATTAAAACAACATTTTTTGCTTATCTTCTATTACAAAAAATTCTCAAGTTAATACAAATAATATAGAAACAGTATTATATTTTATTGGTCCAATAATTGGCAAGAAAATATTAATTCTCAATTGAAAGAACTACATTACACAACAATTCTGACACAATTATTAACTTTTAGCTTTCACATTACTTTTGAAAGTTTTGAAATACTGAATTTAATGCCCCATTTTCTGTAACAGCACATTTTTTATCTTGTAATTCTTGTCTTGCTTCCACAATTTATTTGAATTGGGTTGTTGAACTACTGTAATTTCCTTTTCAATTAAACCTAACTTCCCATAGTAAACACTTCATATATTGAATACAGTATTCAAGTTATCTACTGTATTTCATCAGATCATGATCAGAGCATCTAAACTAATTCCTCCATGATCAGAGAATATAAAGTATCTTTAACAACAGAAACAAAGAGTGGCCTATTATGGAGCAACCTGGTGTGGTTTTGGTCGGACACTAATTACATAAACAGTAAGGTTTTGGTTATAGTATACTGTACAACAACATTAATTCATTATCCTTCCTAAAGATGATCAAATAAACTTAAAATATTTAGATGATGAATAACCTTCTTTGTAAGTTTGTTTCATGCTTACATGTCATAATTTTAACCTATATCCAACTGGGAGATGAACATATTTTGCACCTTTTAAAAGTGAAAGTCAATGTTTTAATTAAGATTTTAGGAGTTTCCAGTTTCTCCGAAGACAGTACAGTATATTTCAAGGAATTGGATCTTTAGCTTGTAAAAATATAAACCGTTTACTTAAATATCACTATTATTATTAAAATATAGATCATGAATAACTTTCTTTGTAAGTTTGTTTCATGCTTATATCAAACTTATAATCTATATGCAACTGGAAGATGAACATATTTTGTTCCTTTTAAAAAATGGAAGTCTATGTTTTATTTTAAGGAATTGGATGTTAAAAAGATCAATAACAGGATGTGAACATTTTGGTTTATCAGTAATGTAAATAGAGATAAGTGATGAAAAATATTAAATTCAAGAACTAGGAAGGAGGAATTAGAGTGGATGAATGGAAGTAAACAATAATCATGATTAAATGAGACCAGGAATTAAATGTTCAACATAGAGAAATACATAATAAACAACTGCATTTAATGCATATTATTAAACAACAAAACTATAATTTACCACATTAAAAAAAGTATTGAATATGCAAATAGAAAAGTAAAATATGGGAATAATGTATTATTCATTTTGTACATCAGTGGAAAGTTGATTTTTCAATTTTACATATTTGATCGGACAATACAACAACTTATTACTAAAGAAATACAACATAAGGGTAATAAAAATTCAGTAGGTCAGTTTAAGTTTGGTGAAACCAATAAAACAACAGAAAATGCAGGTACAGTAATAAAAAAAAAAAGGTGGTCACTTGAGTTGAGAATGACTGGTAGCATTGCACTGTATACACACAGCCATGTCAGGCCTTCAAAAAAAATCAACAGTGGACAGTAATTGTAACATAGGCCTATGCTGTACAATTTTTTTTTTTTTAAATAAAAACCAGTAAAATTTTGTCCAGGCTTACTGTTCTTATTTTTTTGGCCGATTTCAGGCTCAAAATGTTCTTATTTTGTTCTTATTTTACACAATGTTCAAACACAGAAAATTATTATTGTACAGCATTATACTACTGTACTGGAGTGTAGATAAAAATGGCCCCTGAAAAAAGGCACCAGAAAGAAGGCCCGGTAAAAATGGCCCCAAATGACAGGTACTCTGTATTGTATTATAGAGGGTATTACATAGTCACACCTATTGTACATAAGGTACAGATATAATTTTTTGGTTTTCCTATTTAAAAAATAAAAACCTCATTTGACATTTTACCTCAGCCTCAATTTGTTCTTACTTTGTTCTTAATTTTTAAGTAATTCCAGCCTCAGTGTTCTTATAAAATGTGTTCTTATAAAAAAAAAAGTGTATGTTGTATCAAATATATTATGTTAAGCATTAAAATTAATAGGCCTGACCAGTAAATCTACAATAATTTTTTACAAATGATAGTAAAATAAAGTTAGTAATTTTCATTGTTTTTATTCATTATTTCTCTGCATATTTAAAAATAATTTTATTTTCCTTGATACACTCACAAACAAAAGTATGTAGCATACTCAAAAATATTTATAAATGTACCAGTTAAGATATTATAAGTTTTTTAAAAAGAAATTATCTAAATGATTAATAATAACTAGTATAAATTTATGTTTGTACATTTTTAAGATACAAGTGAAAAAGTAATTAAGTAAAATAATGCATACTCTTTTATAAAATAATGATCAAATAGAAACAGGTGTAACCGTAACCTTTGTCCACAAAAGCTTGTGTATCAACACAATTTTATAACTTATTTATCAAAAGAAGTTCCGTCTATTCTATTATTGAACAACTTACTCAAAACAAAACAAAGTACTGTACTTCAATTTTAATGTTAAAAACTTCACCTACTAAAAAATTAAATCAAGTTAAAATGCAAAATGTAGGAATTATTCTATAATAATCAAACAAAATTTAAAACAATGTTAATAACACTATATATGTACATAGAAGTGGAAACATAAAATACCAATATATCTAATTCAAAATGCTATAACAAAACTACAATACATCTCTCTGGAGTCACTTACAAATCGTTGGACATAGATATAGGCATAGGTAGTTCCTACAGGCATGTATATATCCTACAGGTTATTTATTCTCCACTCCAGCACATAGGCTAATCATAACTTAACTGTCAGAGAAATCCAACTCGCTCCACTGTAGGCATGCATGCATTTCCTTCTGAGGTAACCAACTAAATGAACAGGAAGCGTTTTTGCCATACCTACTTCCTGGTTCCATGGACGAGAGTTCATGACCAATCACATTCCAGCAAGATTTTGCCTTTCTACAATGACTTAATAAACAACTTTGGAGCAAGATTATTACCGGTAAGCTTATGTTTCTCGTTAGGATTATAGGTAACGAGGTAGACAATTGCCCTATTACAGGCGGGTGGGTGGTACATTTATTTAAATGGCATTGAAATCAGATATATAAATAAATTTTCATATTAATTGTACACAATAGTAAAAAATAACAAGTTGTGTATTTTACTATTTAGATGTATTTTTACATTTATGAGTATGTGTTTACAAGATTACAAAGAAAATACAAATATTCGATGCAAGTCTTTTCAGGTAATAGGTGAAGACTAATTGCACTGTTATAGACCTAGTGGGTGGTGCTTCATTTGAATGGCATTATTGAAGCATATAATAAACATTTAAACACAATAGTAAAAAAAAATTACATGTTTTGTATTTATTAGATGTATTTTTACATTTGTAAATATTTATTGATTTACAAGATTTCTAAGGAAGTCAAATTCAAAAATTCAAATTCAACATTTATTCAATAATGGTAAACAATACAATAATGATATACAATACAAAAATGAAAATGGGAAAGAAAATGTAAAATAAAAATTTAAAAAAAAAAAGATACTATTATTGGGATCATGATTAGAAGTAGAACTTGTCTCATCTTGACCCCATGAAAACAGAAAAACAAAAAAGTGAAAGGAAAGAAGAATACTTCCGTAATTAATTAATGATGGTACAAAGCTAAATATTCTTTTAAAATTTTTTTTTTTTTAAATACAGGTAAAGAAAGTAAATTTTTAATGGAACATCGAGATCATTCAATAAATTAGGATATATCCAATGTAAAGTCTTTTCATATAAAGTAATAAATCAACTTATTTTATCATTAAATTAAAATATTAAATAACTTTTGTCTATAATAATAATATTTTATGTAGTGAATATTTAGGTATTGATTTAAAAATAAAAACATTATTTTATTGACAACTATTATGTGTTGGTAGATTATTGTCATGATTATTAAAAACAGCAAATAGCAGGTATTTTTCATTATTTCTTATAGTTTTAGAATAGTTAATTCTTATTAATTGGTACAAAAAATACTTTAAGGCAAATATCTTGCTTATTCGGTAAACTTCAATTACATATATTAATTAATTATTATTTTGATTATTATTATTATTATATTTTTTTTATTATTATTATTTCTACTATAATATAATAAAAATAATATTTTTCTAACAGGCACTATAAAAATTCCCAACCTATTTAGTACAAAAAAAATGTAAATGGTTTTTAAATAATAAACTGTTGATGGAACTTGCATAGTTGATGCTTTATTTATTAAATAAATTATTTGTATTACAAGGACTTTCCGGCTCAGTGACCTCAATCTAATCATCTTTTTTATCTCACACAAATTTTTTGCCTTGTGGGCAATTCTACAAAACCCACTGAGGAGACATCAGTAATGATTACAAAGACCAGAAAATTGAAAACCAGATTAATACACCAGTTCATACAAGCCAACATATTATACGGTATCCTCAGTGGCAGATCCAGGAATTCCACAGTTAGCCTAGCTCAGCCCTTAAAAATGTATGATTATGGAACCTCTTGATGGCTGAAAATGGCACTCTCAGACTCAGTCCTGAAAAAAATATTTTTGTGCCTCCTACCATGAAAATTATCTTGATCAAATGCTCCTAGCACCAAATAATATCTTTACACTATTACCTTCACACATTTAGTGGTTTTGAGCAAGTACAAATATTAAACTTAATTACCGGTATGCATTAAATTGTGATGTGTAAAAAAAATTAAGAAAAATAATTCTTTTTTTCTAAAATGCCTCCTTGGTAATGGTCAATGCCTCCAACCTCCGGCCGCGCACTTTTCCAGCCCTGCTCAGACTTAAAATTTGAATACAATTTTCGCTTTTTCTCCCTTTTTATTAAATTTTTTTAATTTACCACTGATCATTGTTAGGGAATATTTCACAAATGTCCTATGCTGTATTGCAACTGTGTTTAAGGCATTCGAAAGAACACAAGACTGAATCTACGCTACAGAGAAAATAGTTTATAAGCACATTCTGACCTAATTATTACACCTAAATTAACTACATTTGTTTCCATAATATCATTTGAGTCCCATCCAGATAATCAAATTTTATTTGAAAAAAACATGTGACATGCCTAAATATGGTCATGATGACATCACATCATGACCATATATAGGCACATCATGACCATATATATTATTATTATTGAAACAGCTATAGATAGCAGATATTGTTATCACTATTTTTTTTTGGCTATTTCATTAAGTTATGGAGGTAGCTCTAAATCCAATACATATTGGCTTGGACCACTGGATAACATATAATGCTTTAAAATTTGATAGTATTTTCAAGTTGTTGTTGCTTTAATGTTTTCCATTCTTTTATATACAGTATAAAGTACAGCATAATCTCCATACCAGCTCTATGGTGTACATAAGCCAATTGTTTCACCAATATTTTGTTCCCTTAAGCCGGGCATTCACTGCGTTGTACGACGGTAGCATCCTTTATCATTTTAAATGTTAAACATTCAATCACTGCCTTAAATACAAACCAAGAAATACCTGATATAAAAACAGGAGCAGGCTGGTTGCCCCCTGGACATTTCCCACCGGACAGTTTCCCCCAGTATTTTGCCACCTGGACATTTTCCCCCCGTGACATTAGCCCCCCGGACAGTTTCCCCCGGTATTTTGCCACCTGGATATTTTCCCCTGTGACATTAGCCCAACCCCCAGACTTTTTCCCCCCTAGGACAGTGTCCCCCTAGGACAGTTTCCCCCTAGGACAATTGCCCCCCCCCCATGTATTATTGTATTATATTTTCTCAATTCAATTATACTATACATGTTCCCAATACATTTTACTGTTTTATTTTTCATAATTTTAAGTAGAGGTATAGTTATTCATATGATAATTAGTTCATTCAATGAGACTGAAGGCAATTCGTAATAGTAGGCCTATTTTAAATAATTATTTTGTAAGAATTATTTAGGTATTGACTTGATCCCAGTAAATACATCCGAATGTATGGCGTTTCATTGACGTGTTACAACGAGAGCAAGCTCTCACATATGTCGTTATGAACCAAATGATTGCACGACAAGCACCTGCGCCCCAACGTCAGCAAACAAGAAACTGCAGAAATGCCATCATACGTATTGTAGGAACATACTTCAACGGGGATAGAATGGATTATCTTAGAGGCATTGCACACAACATTTCCTTATAACTAGTGAATCAGTAATTATAAATCATCTAACTAAAAGTAGTAAATACAAATGAAGTAAGCATAATATAGTGTATGAAATCCCTGTTCTGTAATCTAGTGTGTAATTCCTGTTTATTTGTGTTGTTGTTCATATGTAAAAGCAAAAGTAATAACTTTGTTTACTTTGGTTTATTTTATATTGTTAAAATTATTAAATAAGTTACAATAGATAGGCCAAAGTACAGGGAAATGTCCAGGGGGAAAAATACCAGGGGAAACTATCCGGGGGGCGGGGGAGAATGTCCAGGGGGCAACCAGCCTAGACCCTAGACCAATAAAAACATAGGCATGTCATAAAATAATTAAACTTTAATCAATTAACTGACATAATTAATACTCACTTGGTTTTCATGGCATCCCATAATGCGGTTTCATCCGATATCCAAGGGTTTGGAGCTTCCATTGTCGATATCAAACCGTCGTACTCCTTATATTGTTGGCAATATGAAACCAATCTGAAATTTCAAACATGCTTCGCTTATAAATACCATAAATATACAATGTTTCCTATTATTTTTTTAATTAATTTTCAAAACAGAATGGTGGGTTATTTTGTCCGTTAGGTCACTGACTCCTACAGTCAGGCAAAGCAGCAGGTCCGTAGGCCCAATTAAAATACTGTATTATTTTGAATAAATTCCCCCCTCGAATAAACACCCTCTTGACAATGGCGGCTCTGGGGGGGGGGGGTATGGGAGGGGGTGTCCCTTCCTCCCCAAAAAGAGATTTAAAAAAGAAAATTGGGACTTCTAGATGGCCGGAAATGGCAGGGATATGAAAACTAGGCCTATTTTTTTTGTTTTTTTGGTCCGACGAGCTTTGGCCGATGGAGGCTTGACCAGACCGATGGGGGGAGGCTTAAGCCCCCTGCCGGTGCTGCCACTGCCCCTTGAATGAATGCTAAATGACTCTAAACAATTCTAATGGAAGCAACATCATTCTCAGCACTACTAGTAATATTCTGCTCTACTCTGGTTGGGATTATTAAGTCTTTAGGATCACGCAATTTAACAGTAATTTTATAGTGGAATAAAGAGGCATTTACTTGAGTGTATGCTGTATGTATCCATTTTGCTTTTTTTTGATGAGAACTTTACTCTGCATACAATTTTCTGGGTCTTTTATCTTGTGACAAAAAAGGATTCCCCCTTCCCAGCTATCCCCGCACACACAAAAAAGAAAGTTGTAGAATACAGAAAAATTGTATTGTAATTTTGTATAAGGATCTGTTAACTTAAAATCTCACACTTCCTACCTTCCATGAAATGGTTCTTAGTGTTAACTTGGATCGCAGTAAAATAGCGATTCTGAATTAACTTACAAACATGAAATAGAAAGTGATTTTCACTGTATACTTATTTCATTTTCACCACAATCAATTTCGGCTACGGATGTTTTGCATGAGAATATCAGACTTTTTGGGTGCGACTAGGTTATTTCTGCTCATGCGTGGAATGGCGAAGGTAACCCCCCCCACCCAACTACCATCACAAATTGAGCAGGTTTTTGCGTCATTATCATTATGAGGGCATACGTAAATGTTTATGACTTCAGTAGTCAACATAAGCATATTTAAAGTTGGGATACAATACTTGGTCTTTATACTTTTATACTCACTTCATGTTTATATTTAAGGGCGTACCTAAGACTTCAAAAATGCGTTATAAACATATAGGTAAAAAAAAAAATCCATCATAATGATTATAATAAAATAATAATAAACAACAACACAAATATCATCAATAATAATGGCAATAATAATAAATATATAACAATAAATATACAAAAATTATAAATATGATACTAGCAACAAAACAATATAAAAAACCCCAACAATAACAACAAACACGTAGTATAGCTAAAATTGTGTGGTATGCACTGCGTGCATTGAACTGTGAAATTCCACTCAGACTTGGGGCCCTAGTTCAATTCTATAGGTGTTCTCCTTCAACTGGAGGGCTAAAATGCATGTTTTAGAACGCACCGTCTTCCAGATAAGACGTTCGAAGCCTTCAATTGGTTTCATGTGCACAACCACTTATGTACATGTTAAAGAATGCAGTACACCTCATTTCACTGAAAAGGATCCCACTAAAATTAAGCCTTGAGATTTTCATGGGTTATCCTAGGTGACTTTTACACACACACAAAAACAATTACAGAAAAAACAAAATAATTGGAACCACAAACTACAATTTATCAACACCAACCTCAACTAAAATGAACAACCAGATCTAATATTTAACAATTTATATATTATATCTCAATAAAAACCAAATATAAGTAAATATCATTTAAAAAAATTCTCATAACTTGTTCAAAAAGAAATACAATTTGATGACTTACAACTCTGCTACTTTTGATGTTTTATACTGTCTCTTCTCAAGTCGAGCTTTCAGCATATCCACCTAAAAAAATAACCATAAATTAATAACCAGGTAAAAACACAAACAATGAAAGCAGTCAAAAACAGGAAGTGACAATCAGGAAATAACACAAGAAAAAAAAAAAACCCTTCTTTTAAAGCTACAATAAAAAATTACACACATTGTTCAACAGAGAAAAAAAGCTCATCACGCAGGGATGACACAATGTAAAGTAATCATGTGGAAAATCCATATTATAAAGGTTAGAAGTCACGTACAAATCTGTGGCTGGATAGTTGAACAATTGGACTTAAAAATAATAATACTTTCCTACATCATGGATATTATGCAGCTGTCACAAACAAAGAAATTCTTTAAAAATCTACATCAAGTCAATTTTGGATATGTTCAATCTCCTTTGTAAACATAAAACAGATCGGGCTATATTTAATCTACAAATATTAAGGTAAAATAATAATAATAATATTAATAAATAATATTAATAATAATAATAATTACAATAATAACAATTAATAATAATAATATTAATAACAATAAATAATAACAATAAAATAATAATTAAATAATAATAAAAATAATAATAACAATAATAATAATAGTAATAATAATGTGCCTCAATAAAATTGCAAAGTAAAAGTAAATGAACAAATACATATATCTTATAAGATTCCTTTAAATGCGATTACAAGAATCTTGTGTACATGAACAAACAACTAGCGAGACATCAAAAACAACAGGAATTCCGGTTCAAACTGTTCTAAACTCGGTCAACACTATTAAATTTTATGTGATATGCCAATATTTGGGTGTCATATGATATTATTATGCCCATATATGTGCACATCACACAAATCTGTCAAATAAAATTTGATAGTGTAGGCAGATCTTAAGAAAGTATGAATGCTATAAATCAACAATATTTTTAAAATAAACAAATAAAAATCAAGAAATCTTCAGAAATTAAATTAAGACCAGAGCTTTTAAAGGTTTTGGTCCCCACATTCCAGTTACGCCCTTTCACATGATTCAATGCCCATAAGGTCTCTAGATTCCCTGTATATGATCAAGTGATTTGGGGTAAAGATCCCTGTAAAACCAGGTGATTGGAGTAAATTCCTGTATTGTCCGTAAATTCTGGTAAAGTCTTCCCACACCCCTTCTTCCATCCTGCCAACTGACCATATTGATGGCCCCCAAGGCAGTCACAAACCCCAAACAGTGGGTGCCTGGCGTCCTATTACGTGGCACACAGCTGTTCTCGGCGGCCTTGCCAACATCAGTGCGACTATTATCATCATCAACTTATATTATATAATAATTATAACAACAAAAGATACAAGCCTTTTATCATGCACTAAGTATAAATATCTTTAATTTTAAGGGTTTTTTTTTTCTCTCAGTTATATATTAAAAGTTACTAAAAATCAAATTCTACATCGTCATCATTATCATCAAATTAAGAACTATTTACTGGTATTAGAAAAGTAAGGCAATTAAATGTTGAAAAAACAGACTTTCTTTGTAACATTTTGTTAACAATTAACATTTTACTTCTAGTTGTGTTACTTACTTCATAACATGAATTACAACTAGAACAACTCATGTAAGTTTGTCTCTTCCCGGATTTAAATCATTAATTCTTACCACAGCCTGGCCATAAGAACATACTAATCCCTCAAGTTCACACACACAATACTTAGCAAGGCCTACTCAGCCATCTGATAAACTACTGATCCTGTTTGCATGTGAACTCAGCCACGAGAAACATGCCTTAATTCACACTCAACAGCTGCTCTGCCCATAGTTGTAGTCTCAAAAGAATTGAAACCAAGAATCAGGCCATTGTATTAATAATCTCCATGGAAATAAGGCAGTTTTTTTTTGTCTACAGTGCACTTTTGTGGGGAATTCTGTTAAATGATACAGGATTATGTCTCCTGTTTAAGAAACATATAAACATTTTCCCATCAAGGATAAATATTGGTATGAGTAATAAGTATTATATAAATAACAATAATCATATAACAAAATAATTAAAAATAACATGTAGATGAATAACTATCAAAATAAAAAATACATGTCCTACCTTATCATGAATGTAAACACTCACATTAGATTCATACCGAAAAAAAATCAACGACTCTATTTTCTCCGTAAGAAATGATGCCTTATATTTATTCTACCAAAGTATGATACAATCTATTATCCCGTTCTGCAGTGTTGTATGGTTTTCAGGTTTAACTAAAAAGGACACACTACCTCTAATACCAAACTAAATAAGACAGCTTTTAAAATAACAGGCGTAAATACTAAAGGTAGGCATATGTGAAGAAAGTATATTAGATAAAGTTATAATGATCTCCAAAGATACAACTCAACCGTTACACTAGAATGTAGGTCAAAATTGCCCTGGTAAAAATGGCCCCGGTAAAAATGACCCCAGTAAAAATGGATCCAATGATAAAATTCTGTATTAACACTGATTTTTTAAAATCATTATATGCATTTTGTTAAAACTGAAATAATTTAGTTTTTAAAAGAAGCTAACATCAAATAAATTGTCATTTACATTTTACTTTTACAAGGAATTACACATCCATAGATTAAAAAAAAAGTCATGAAAAATTTTTTTAATTTATTTTTAATTTAAAATGTTGAAAAAATAGCAATAATTTTCAATAAATCAACATATATCATGCATTTTTTAATACTAAAATAATTTAGATGTGACCAATTTCATGGAAGCGGAATCACAATTTCAAGAAATTTTTAAACTTCAATTTGGGTATTGCTAAATCCTGCAAAAATAGATTGTTATGAACATCAAAATATTATTTTTTTAATCATTATATGCATTTTGTTAAAACTGAAATAACTTAGTTTTTAAAAGAATCTACCATCAAATAAATTGTCATTTACATTTTACTTTTTCAAGGAATTACACATCCATAGATAAAAAAAAAAGTCATGAAAATTTTTTTTTTTTTTTTTTAATTTATAAAATGTTGAAAAATAGCAATAATTTTCAATAAATCAACATATATCATGCATTTTTTAATACTAAAATAATTTAGATGTGACCAATCTATTGTATAATCGAAAACAATAATAGTAATGATGCATATGTATTTTTTAATGTTTGATTAAAAGTGGTAGCTTCTAAAGAGAGCAAAATAGTAATAAATAATGAAGATAATAAAAAATAACTAAATAATAATTTAAAAAAACAACAAATACATAGTATTACAATATGGAGTAACAAAAATAATTATGCTTTCATTAACAGAAATCATTTTCAAAATCTTCATATATTTATAATATAAACCTTGAATTTTATGCACATAACCTAACAATGGACTCTTCTTAAAACTAAAAGTAAAACATTATATATTTTATATACGCATTAACCAATAAATTAATTAATCAATCATTGAATTAATGAGGTGCCACTTTAATTGTCATTAGTGTGTTCCATCAAAAAGAAACTCATTAATCATTTTCAAAATCTTGATTATCTTTATAACATAAACCTTGAATTTTATGCATATTACCTAACAATGGATTCTTATTAAAACTAAAACACTATATGCTTTATATTCTCATTAATCAGTCAATTAATTAATCAATCGTTGAATTAATGTGGTGCCACTTTAATTGTCATTAATGTGTTCCATCAAAAAGAAACTCATTAATCATTTTCAAAATATTCATATCTTTATAATATAAACCTTGAATTTTATGCATATAACCTAACAATGGATTCTTATTAAAACTGAAAGTAAAACACCATATGTTTTATGTTCATTAATCAGTCAATTAATTAATCAATCTTTGAATTATGAGGTGCCACTTTAATTGTCATTAATGTGGTCCATCAAAAAGAAACAGAAAACAGTTTTGTGTTAAGTGGTAACTTAAACACACTTTTAATATAACTGTTCCACAAACAAACAAATACAAAATAGAATCAGTCTTCTCAAATAAGGACTTAAAAATGGACGTCCAGTGTACACATCTGGCTTGCATCTTTCGGAAGAGTAGGGGGTTACCCCTGATTCCATAGTTCATTTTAGCCCGTTTTTTGGTGTAATGATGTGACTTGCACCTCTCTATGGTTGCTGCAGTAGTTACGAACCACACCCATACAGAATTCAGCACAATGATGCTGTAAGTTATGGGTTATCCTCCAACCTACATATATGAAAATGTTTAGTTTCTTTGGTGATAGTGCTACGAGTGCATAATGCAGCACAAGTGTCTGCGAGAATGCCTAGGCATTTCACAGAAGCAAGCACCCCTGGAAGTTCAAGATAGTATCGAGGGGAAAATATCATCACAGCATCATCACCATGGACACAGCATTTCAGATATCTAAATCTGAAATCATTGTAAACACACAATAAATATAACATACACATCATATGTTTTAACAACATAATTATTTTGTTAAATAATGTATTTCACAAAATAACCAGGTGATATACTAACTCCAATTCTTATCTATATGTCCGACTTTTCTTATAATGTTTACTTATCGTGTTCATGTATATTAACCTTGACAAATAGAGCAGGAGCTCCCAGAAATATTGGTTAAGAGATCAGTTCTGAGAATTTCATCTAGCATTTTCCCCTGTATTAATGTTTTATTGTATTCTCAATTTGGAACAATGAGACATTCGAATATGGCAACCTAGAAGTACTCATTATTTTGATAATTATCATCATCACAAATTATCCTTAAATGTTACAACAGGTTCAACAATCTGTCTTTTCATTGTCTTGTTTAATCCTTCACATAAATAAACTAATTTTGCACCCATTTACCTTTCTGTCAAGGTGTTAACAACTAATATTCTTGGTAATGTTTTCTATGCAATAATTCCATGAAGAAAATATAATTTAAGGCCTGGAGGGCCTAACATGCCATTAGCTATCTTTGTAGAAATCTTTGTATTGCAATGAACTATTAAAAAATGTTTGCAGCAAGTCAGTATGACTCTCGCCTAGTTATATAGAGTAAT